CCCCAAAACCCCAAAACCCCAAAACCCCAAAACCCCAAAACCCCAAAACCCCAAAATAATCACTAATAGTTGAAAAATGATTGATTTGCAAGGTTTGAAGCTGAAGAACCCTTCCAAACTCAGTGAATTGAGCTACGAACGGATTAGGGTCAAGAACGGCAACATTATATCCAAGGAAAACTATTGAAACTTAGACACAGCTAGATGAGATATCTGCCTGAAAGATTACTGTCAGATCTTTGAAGACGGCTCCAATGATGATCTCATCATGTGAGATGTATGCAAGGTCCTCGTCCACCAATCCTGATATGGAAGAGACATCCTCTCCAGCATCCCTGAAGGAGACTGGCTCTGTGAAAGATGCATTTATCTCCTGTATAAAGGAAGGAAAAGAAAATGAGCATTTTGTCTTGACCATTCTGGAGCAATAATTCAGTGAAATATTGTGCCTGGTGAAAATCAGCAAATCAAGCTAAAATCCCCTCTTTGGACCCACATCACTTGTGCTAACTGGATCGGAGGAATCGTGCTTGAAGGAGACAACATTTCCTTTGATAAAGAACTCTTGCCAGGAAAGGAGTGGTGAGAAGTCTGTAGAAAACCTGGAGAATTTTTGATAGCTTGTGATTATGAAAACTGTGAAATAAGATGGCATGTCAGATGAGCAATAAAAATTCAAGTGATTACTCCCTCAGAACAGAATGAAGAAGGGGAAGGAGATGAAAAATCTGAAGATACTTCAAAAGACCCAAACACCACAGAAAATTCAGAAGAAGAACTCCTTCTATACTGCCAGGAGCATCAAAAACTCCAAAAGAGGTTGTCTTTAGGGACCACTGTAGCAGATTCTGACTCAGATATTCCATCTGGCAGCTCTTTAGCCGTGATTCATCGGCTAGAGGAGCGTATTAGATCTCTCCAATCTACTTTAAAGATCCCTCCGAAGCCAGAGGAGGAGGTTACTCCCTCAGTGAATAAACCTGACCTGGGGCCATACCAGCCTGTAGAGACTATGAACGAAAATTTGTTGTATGATGAGTTAGCCAATTTCAAGGAAATATTCCATGATATTATAACAGAAGTAGCACTAAACAAGCTTAAAGTAGTGAATGAAGTGGTTTGGGAGGAAATTGAAAGGATTAAGAATAGGGATAGAGGAGAAGCAGAGGAGAATTTGTTGGATAACTTAAGGGATAGATGTAGAATCAGAAAATAAGATAATGTCGGGTTTGGAGGGCTCTGAAGAGGTTTTAGACATTTTTTGAGGATCTAGAAATGGATTTTGGACCGAGTATGTGGGAGGAGAAGATGGAAGGCAGGGATTTGTGGGAGAAGAAGTAATTGAGGTTGAAGCTGAAACCAGTGAGGATGAAGAATTTACTGGAGAGATTTTATATGATAATGATCAATTTATGGATGATGAATTTGATGCAGTAGAGTATGAAGAAAAGAAAGAACACGATACTCAAGCAAATCATAACGATTCCCATTCTATGACTAAACAAAAATTAAGTAACCAAACAGACAAGCTACAAAATCCTCCTACACTAGACAATAAACAAGACTCTAGTACCAGCGATATTGAAATGAGCCAAAAGCAGCCTCAAGGAACAGAAAAAGTTGAAGCCATGGATGCTCAAGACCCTATCATCCCTACAACACAACACCTAGATGTCTCTCAAAGTAAAGATTTCGGTCTACTTTCCAAACAAGCTCAGGCTCTTCCAACGAAAGAGCCTAATGCCAGCAAGACACAAGACCAAGACGATGTGGTTATGACTGAAAATGTTGATCCTCCTTCTGTTACAAAAAGCACTGAGGATGACCCTCTACTTAGTAAGACTGACCTTTCAGCTGAACCCAAGGGTGAAGAAAGCCCTCATAGATCAAGTCCTTTTAAAGCAAGTTCAATCACTAAAAAGCAGTCCCTCTGAAATTCCGAAGGCAGCAGTCAGGAGGAAGATGACTATGACTCTGAAGAAGTAGAGCACTTCGTAGACTATGTAGCCAAGAAAATAGGTCTCAAGAACTTTCCCACATATGAAGAAGAGATAACTTACGGTCCGATGCCAATAAGGAAAAAGAGAAAGGTCAGAAGAAAGGTACCGATGAATGCAATGTCTAGAAGGGAGGAAGATAAGTCCGCCCAACAGAAAGAATTCGAGCATGAAATAGCCTGTCTAATCGGCAACACTGAGCTTGAATTTGAGTTCATTAAGAAGCATATGACTGGGGAAATAGAATATCTTCCTGAAGAAGTCCTTCCAAATTAAAGCTTGCCACTCTATTATACCAAGTTTAGTGAATTTGATGTTAGATAAAAGCCAGAGTTTCCTGTATAGGAATCATGAAAAAGCGAGCTAAAAGCTCTGAGTTTGGTATTAACCTATAAATTTCACTAAGAGACAATTTGTCAAATTCAAGTTGTAGCTAAAATCTAGGGGTTTTGGGGTTTTGGGGTTTTGGGGTTTTGGGG